GAGTTGCGATAGTGCGGAGAATTTCCTAAGTCATCTTTAGCTTGAGTAGCGGGAGGAGACCCGGATTGTGTTATACCGAGGTGTCCATAGTAGTGAGATCTGATCGATTTATCTTGGACGGTGAGAGAACTGGCAAGGTATGGATATCAACGGCGTCTCAAAGCTTTAGAATGCGTATTAGAACGAACTTGGGCGAAGACTCATTTCGTTCTTATAACAATTCTGTTCAGCCGACAATGTGCGTCGTAATCACAGCCTCAACCACTTGATCTCTAAGCATTGAGCAATACCTCATGTACAGTTTGCCATTACCAATGTCAATTGCGCTCCATCGATATTTGAAAATCTACACACTATGCGAAGAATCCATCAAATTGTTCTCGTTTTTTGGAACAACTCACTCTTCAAATAAAACAATCCACAGTTGATCCGTAAAGTGAGAGAGAGTGGGTGTATATTTAGTGATCCCATTCTTTTCAATCATACTGCACTATACGCTGCTCCTTGTCATCATGACCTCATTTTTGTGAGCTTCTGTGACCAATGCCATCCTTCTGCTCACGCTCTAAGTGACTGGTACGGAAACCTTTCGGCCTGGGGCCCGTACAAGTGGATATTCTTTGACAACCACCTCGTTGGAGTCTACAATTTGTCCAGTCTACAGTAACTTCGGTCTGGACTAATCCACAGGACTGTGACCAAAGACTATTCTGTATCAACATATTTTACCCTTAGTTGCCCTACCTCGAGGATCAAGCAAAAACTCCAACAATCGTGTAGATAGTATGATGTTACACTACGTGCTCGTCAACGAAGTAGTAACTAGCTGGCGTATCAAAGGAAGCAATCTGGGTGGGAACTACAAGTTGACAGCTTTCCAAATGACGATTCATAGAGGACTCAGTACAGTACAGTACTGTTAACCAATTTCTACGTCTACTACTCGCAAGACGTGATATTTCCTGAAAAATGTGATGTAATATAATACAGTACTAGCCATAAAACTGAATGTAATAGTATTTAGTTGTTAATTGTCTACAGTATTGTCGGCTAGTTGAGGGAGGGCAAACTAAACCTAGGTGGAATAGAGCATCTTGAAAATACCTGGATATTTGAAAAAAAAGAGCGTGCCACTTTTGATGCTGTTTTGGACTGATTTTTGGGCTGATTTCTATGACAAAACACCGTTTTCCTTTGTATTTACTGTCTTATATGCTTTGGCTGGCTTTCGGATCACTCTTGCTTCCGCCGGAGGAAGCGCCTGCATAGCCATACGCCACTAGTTAGGCTGCAACAGGTTAATAGAGTGTTGATTGATTGATTGATTGATTGACCTCTCGTGATTATATGATCCCTCTTACTATTACCTCATGGGTTTTGATTGCTCTAATTGGTCATAGGATTTCCGTACATGCTAGTACCTACTGAGTGAACTAATTCGACAATTTGATTGTGGAACTGAATTCTAAACACAAGCCCAATGATCTCTTCCCCGAAGGGGCCAGCGGTAGTTTATTACCCACTCAGTCTGACAGGCTGTTTCGATATGAACATACAGCTGATCATTAATTTGACCAACTGCTTGGTCTGTGTTTAAGTCTACAATAATACAGTATCTTTCACGGTACTCTCCGTTTTATTTGCTGAATTGGTGCGGCAGAAGTAAGCTACGTTTTAGAGTATTTCTTAGGTTGCGTATGCCAATTCAGGTGGTTTGGCATCTCAGCGATACACAACACATTAACACAGACCACCTAGAGCTACCTTTCATAATGTCAAAAGGAAGTATTATTTTACATTATCACATGGCCGTCTCAGGTTGTTGAAATATTTTCCCTATTCTGTTTTGGCCACTTCGTTGCGAATACACCCAATTAATCTGTCTAACCAGTCCCCAAGAATTTCTACGAAGGCATCGACTAGAGCTTAGGTTAAGCCATCGTAAGGAACTAATCAGCCTCTATCTACTGGCTGTCTGTACACCGTGGATGTGCGGAGATTATACATGCTAATAGAATAACAACATGGATTTCACCGTTTGATCGATACGAGCACTTGATTTTCATGTAGACATGGTAGAAACTATTATATGAGCGGCTTCACTGACATTACCGGATCTTTCCAAAGATACGGTGAAGACTTCGGTTTATTGGATCTACTAAAAAGTGTTCTCTCCAGTTTTATAACCAGGTCAACTTTCGGTCACATTTTCGTACTACCGTTTTGCACACTATGAATTGAATCTGGTGAATCTATGATAATCACGCTTAAATAAGCATTAGAAACCATCCAATTGGACTTCATTGCGCAACCAAGTGCTACTGTTTGCACTGAACTACAAATTGTCATTGATTATTCTTGAACAGAGTGGCTATCATTTGTGTGATGCTGAGTTTGACGAATTGAACGAATGGCACTGTGATTGAACTTCTCGTCTCCACTGGGGAATTTCAATAATTGCTCATTTACCGTCCAATTTTGATCGACTTGACTAATTCACGTCTATCATACGCCAGTGGGGATTAGACTCCAGCAAAACCTTCACTTATCTCGCTTGGCAAGATTGACCACGTTTTGGCCAGCATTGACCCACGAACAAACCAGACGTCGGTCTACAGAGCTGCAGTCACATGTGGGCCACCGACATTGGTAGCTTCAAATAGTTGATAGCTCGTTATAAGTACAATCAATACCCCAAAATATAGGATTCACTGGCATTTGCCAAACGTAAAAACGCGACTGAAGACACTGATTCTCGATCCTTTTTGTCAATATCTCCAAATTCTTCACTGCAGAACTTGGAAGGTCCTCTCGCAAAATGACTGAAGAAAAAGAATTCTGCCACCTGCAAGCGCGGCCACCCACCCCTCTCGAGCTGCACCCATCCCAACGTGTCGACCAGGATAAAGGAGTGCATATTCGGAATGGAGTGGTTACGCAACAGAGCCCTACTGCAGTCCCGTACCATAGCGCTCGTCGCTGGAGTTTCCAAAGAAAGATGTTGGTGTCGGTGGGTGCTATTTTTTCTTTCTTGGTAATGTGAGTACAAAATACAAGAGACTAGGTGAGCGATCTAACCTTAATCTGAGCTAGCACACTGGCGACTTCAATCTATATTGCGAGCATCCCTGGAATCATGGTCGAGTTTAATGTCGGACGAACGCTGGCCATATCACCGGTCACATTCTACGCCATGGGCTTCATATTTGGCCCTATGTGCACCTCTGCTTTATCAGAGGAATTTGGAAGGGAGTGGATCTATAAGATCTCGCTGTTACTCCACCTAATCTTCACGGTCGTGGCAGGTTCTGCAAAAAACTTTGCCACGATTGCCGTGTGCCGCGCGATTTCAGGTCTTGTGGGCTCTCCATCGGTTACAGTCTTTGCAGGAGTTCTCAATGACCTGTGGAAAATGCCCGAGGACAAATTCGCAGTTCCCCTCTTTGTACTCTATGGACTAGGTGGAGCTGTTGCCCCAGAGCTTGGTCCTGTGATCGGCGAGGCCATCGTGGCTTCCCATGGCTGGCGAAGTACCTTCTGGCTGACAGCCATTCTCGTGGGGACTTGCCTGGTTTCCATGATGTTTGTGCCGGAGACGTTTGAGCCCGAGATCAAACGGAAGACGCTGAACCTTCCGCGCGACGATTGGCGCAAGGTTTTTGTCGCAGCATTTGCGCGACCCATTCGTATGCTTACGGTGGAGCGCATAATCTTCCCTACTGCATTTGTCGTGACAATGAGTCAAGTCGTTCTTTTTATACTCTACGCGGGGTACCCGATCGTGTTGCAGAGAACTTATCAATTTTCGTCTTACCAAGTGGGATTGGCATTCTTGCCGCTTTTCGTGGGATCTTTGCTGGCAGCACCTGTGCTGTCATTCCTGGATCGACGTAAACGTGCACTCAATAATGCCACTCCGGAAGATAGCCTTAATGGGGCTTTTCTGGCGGCCCTTCTTCTTCCAGCTAGTCTACTCTGGTAAGTGGACTTCCCAAGCTACCCAGACTAAAAGTTTAACCCGGGCGACAGGTTGGCATGGACAGTTCGTCCTACTATTCACTGGATCTGGCCCATTCTCGCTGGGGTTCCCTACGGACTTGGATTTGCCCTATCACAGGTGAATATTCTCCCTTTATCGATTGCATGGATGAGTCAAATCTGCTGACATGCGCGATTCAACAGCTGGTCTACCCGATCTACAAGAATATAGTTTACGGCGCTGGGTTGGGAGCTTCTTCTTTCGCCATCGATGTGTTCATGCGATACTCCCTCTCCTGCGTATTTCCGCTTTTTACGATTCCACTCATCGATCACATCGGCTTCGACTGGGTCATGACCACATGTGCGTTGGTGATGATTGCACTTATACCAGTACCTTGGTGGTTACAGAAACATGGTGCCCTGTTGAGAAGGCAAAGCCCCTATCTCAACAGCCCTGAGCATAAGATGGGGTCGGTAATGGTGGAGTCCATATAGACTCCGTAGTAAATGATGTTTTCATCGTGTGATGAGTTCGAGGAACAATCAGCTCTGAGCACGACAGAACCCCATTTTTTCCTTCCCACTGCCGGGCTTCCGATCTGGGTACAAGAGTCTCATATAATGAGGCAGCATAAGATGGATGACGTGTGACTAATGTGGACCTACCAAACTTTGCTGTACTAGAGATTTCCAACAAATATATTGATGTCCTCTTTCCTTTCCACTTGTTCATTGTGGTGAATTGGAGATAATTAGTGCATTCATATTACTTATCACGAACGTCGTTTAGCCGGAAAGTGCATAGAGCAGATTGCCATAGCGAAGAAATGGCACAATATTGTGGGCGGAAGAAGGTTCGCCCCGAAACTCAGTCACCAAGTCCAAGTCTAGAAGTCGGGTTTTGTCACCTACGGGGAAGCAGAACATTTCACTCCATCTTTTCTCCCAGCCAAAACATTTTCGGAGAGTTTTGATTATCCTAGAACCTCTGCAATATTTGCAACATAACTGTTCCCAATTTGATTTTTCTCGCCACTCGCAACTGCCCACCCCTTAAATGAAAATCCCGCCGGTGCATCGTATCGAGCTGTTTCTGGGCACAGCCTCAAGTCGCACTTAAAGAGCGTCCGGGCGATGGTCATTTTCAGTTCTAATTCTGCCAGCTTCATTCCAACGCATGACCGTAGCCCAGTTCCGAAAGGCTCAAAGCCCTCCAACTTCAGAAGTTGCGATCGGCACCCACGCGATAACCATCGCTCGGGCAAAAACTCGTCCGCACGATCAAAGTAATTCGAGTTGCGCATGAGCGTGTAGAGAGATGTTCCGACGATTGTGCCAGGAGGAATGTACCGACCACGGATTGTCAGCCCCCCGGAGTTGACAACGCGTGGAGACAGGTTTGGTACTGCTGGGACGAGCCGCATGGTCTCCTTGATGCATGCATCGAGGTATACGCAATGATTTAACTGACTTCCGGTGATGTCGTCCTCCTCGGTAAAACTCGTGCGGATCTCCCCGATGACTTTCAGCAGAACCTCTTGATTGTGCAGGAGATGGAAAAAAAGGGCACACAGTGTGGTAGACGTCGTATCAGCACCTGGCAAGGTTTTTGGTTAGGTGTTTGACCGTCATTTAAACTGGAAGTTGATCCTCAATTACTCGAGACATACCTGCCGCTAGCAGAAGGACGCTTTCGACCCACATATCTTTCTCGCTATACTGAAGGGACCCGTCGTTGCTTTTGCCCTCTATGAACAACGAAAAAAAGTCCTTTTCGTGATCTTTCCTCTTTAATCGTTCTTTGGTTCTTTCACGGGCCCATGTGCCAGCTGCCATGATATTGCGATAATCTCGCAGGAGAAACAACCGATCAATGTAGTACTGGAAGAATTTCGGTTGCACAAGACACTGTTTCGAATGTCAATAAATGGGCCCCGGGAAGAAACTAGACAGTGAACGTACGACCATGCTGCGCTGAGACATGATTTTATACGCGCATGGAATCCAGCGAAATTCGGGGCGCTGCAGCATATCACAACTCTCGCTGTATATGAGATCACTAATGATATCAAAAGAAAGCCAATCACACAGGTCCTGAAGATCATGTTTAGGCCCTGGCTTTACTAGAAGGTCGACAAAGTGATTCAGTCTCCCGGAGATTCGACCTTCGATCTGCTTTAAACTATAACCAGAAAACATCTTCGAAATCGTTCGTCGCTTGAAGTTGTGTACTGCGTCATCAACAGCACTGAGAATATTGGGGGTACGGCGGCTAGCACTGAGCGCTTCCCAGATCCCTGGCTTGCTAATCATAGAGGAGTTACGATAGATAACTTGCAGACTGGAAGAGGAGTTGAACGATAACTCATTGGGACCCGAGCGAAAAACAGAGCCTAACGTTCATCAGTTGGTCGTGGCCTGGCCTGGAATTTGAACTCACCATATTTGTCATGCCACGTCTTATTTTGCAAATGCAGGATACCTCGCCAGGCGTAAAATGCACTGTACCAGCGAGAAATTGCTGCGAGTCGCGGGCCAGGATAATCGGACAAAGGGTGGAAATACAGCCTATAAATAGCCAAAGCAAAGAGCTTGGCAAAGGTTAGCTCGATACTGGTATAGACAAGTTGGGGATAAGATTCCGCGTACATATAGTAAGGCTGCTATTGCAACAAGTTCGGCTGCAACCAAGGTCATGGATCCCATTCTGTATCTGCAAACCCCCAAAGGTTGTGAAGTTTAAACTAGTACGAGCGAACTGGTACAAATGGTGGCTTCAAAACCAAGCTATGCGGCCCGTGGTATTTAAGAGTATAGATTGACGGATTCGTTACTGGGACACTGCCCATCACGTGTTTCTAATGCTTCCTCGGCGTTTACAAAATTCTGGATTAATTCATAATTGGAGAAGAAGCGTAATCCATTAGGAGAGATTACACGAACATAATGAAAACTTGGAGGGAACAATTTGGCACAGACTAAAGGTAGGAGGATCAGGGATGAGGAGCAAGCTGCCGGCTAGAAGGCCAGAAATCCAATTTTGAATGAATATCGCGCGATGCTAAAAGTTCATGATCATTTTGATCCAATATTGTTGGGTGAGGTTAAATTGGACGTGCTGCAAATTGTTACGGCTCACTTGCTGGCAAATGGGGATTTTGCATACTTGCTCTCTACGGGCCGCGATACCCATAAAGTCTTGGGAAACCTGTGCAAGTGGGACAAGCAAAACAGCGAGAGTAGTGCCTTTCCGGAATCTAGACATCTTGGAATTTTTGCTCTAATCGGCATAACACTTTCTAGAGCTCACCATTAGTCAGTCCCAACATGTTTCTCGAGGTTGAACTAATACTACAAGGAAAGAGCAGGAAGTCAGTGTAACGACAGAAATGTTGACAGAGGTTAATGAGCAATTTGATGAGTGGTATATTTGGCTTTGTGTATCGGAATCAATAGGGTCGTTGGAAGCGTAGTGAAAGGTTGGCAATTAAGAACAATTGCTTCCAAGATTCTCAGCATTTGATTGAAATGATCAATTTGACGTAATATATTTGTGTTAGTTAGGCTATCATCATCCTCAAAATCGTGTAGACGAACATGAACTTGTATTTTATTTCTGACACTTGGGGGAAACCCCACTGAGTGCCCCCGTAATAATTATAAAGGTTTAGTAAAATGTAATTCGCATGTTTTAGTAATACCCATGAGCCACAATGAAACACAGATATTTATGCGGGAAGGAGGGATTTGATTAAGATCGCAAACTACATTGGCGTTTCCTTATCCTTATAGTTACCCTGCCTCAGGCTCCTTTTCAGAAATGTACACTGTATTTCAATTTTGGTGGTTCTCGAGGTTTTGAGTTACATAATGAAAAAGGATCTTTGAACTATTGAATCCTAAGGCATTCCTATGCAGTAAGGGAAACAACCTGAGACATATATTGACGTCATTCTCAGGCACTGATGATTCCTATTGCACAGTAAATTAACCGAGATGCAGGACACTTTTAATCGTCATGAAAACGGCCCATAACGTTTGACCTCTCTCTTCTATTTTTCTACTTCAATTCACTTTCATTTTGAATCTCAATTTGTGGAGGCAGGGATGAATTGCTTCAAAGCTTGAGTGTCAAAGGGTCCTTGCAAATAAATGGTAATGTCTTTGGGCTTTGAACACTCAGGTTTTAGATTATTAACAAAGTTGCATATCAAAAATTGAGTCATCTGTATTAATATGATCCACGTTCTATAAACGATACGTGACACAACATCATATTGCCGAGGTTGGTGAACCTAGTCAAATATCCTATATAGTCATCCCAGGCCACATTCTACGCTTCAATATTTTTTCTCATGATTTCATTTTTAAAAGATGTCAGATTCGGCTAATGATGACAAGGGGGATGCAAGCTTCTCGTCCAGTGATTACGAACTGGATTCAGACGCGTCTGACACCCTAGACGTAACCTGCTCTGATCATGAATCGGATTACGTCCCGTCGTCAACAAGTGAGGATAGAGAATTTGTAGTCTCCGATACGGAAGATATACCCTATTTTTCAGATACATCCACCGACAGCAGCGGAAAGGATCGCCTTACTCTAGGATATGTGAGCGGAGACAACATAGAAGTAAGCTTCAGTCTTTATACATTGACAGAGTAATTGCTTAAATGATCTTCTCAAGTCAACACGACTAGGACAAAAAAGTCTGATAAAGACTATTTTACGACGGAATTTTCTTCGAAATGGCTGCCAAGAAACCCACTACCTGGTACTCTGGTCTTCGTGGGAAACTCGAGATACTATCCTTGCGATTGTTGACGGGTTATAAATATACTCTAATATTAGAGCACTGTCAGGGGAAGTATCGGAGACTGCGGAATAAAGCTAAGATTTCCTAGAGAAAACTGTAGCTATATGTGAATTTCCCAGTCAGGAATTGACATTCACACCTGAAACTGCTACGAGATGGCATCAATAGAAATCTGTTGCATTTGGTGAAAAATACAAAATTTGTCTCCTTCCGCCAGAGAAAATTCAAAAATCAATACCACTTCCTAGCCTCGCAATGCTTAGTCGGCAATTTAATGGGATTCCTCGGAGATTTCGTTATGCAGTGTACATTTGAGGAATTTGTTACTAGAGCGTATCAGGATCTAATGTTAGTCATAAGATATCGAAATTTAAGCACTAGTAGAACTGACAATTCTTTTTTTTTTTTCTTTTTCACTTAACTATCAAGCAAGTGTCGCTCAACAACATCTAACATTTCCATCGTGGCTCATAGGCTGTAGCAGGCGGACGCTGAGGAATTGGATAAAAAGCGCCTGGCCTTGTAGCAACATCGTTCAAGTGCTCAGCAAATTGAATAGCGAACGGAGAAAAACCATTACGTGCCTGGCTTTCTGTCAGCTGTTCTCAGTGACGAGGCCTGTAGCCAAACTCGACCACTCCGAGCGGATTTATGTTTGCTCCCTCCAAACATCACTGAGCGCAATGCTCATTCAACAATGAGAACATATTCCGATTTTATTATCAATATACTAAAACACCAGTCTTAGAGATAAAGTAGCGTAGCTGGCATATTTTGAAAATTATTACTTACGTATATTACCAAAATTACATCCTGATCGAGAGATAGATGTAGATATACATTTTTATCATTCCCCCACAATTTACTAGAGCCTGTCAAATTACTCAGTATAATAAAGTAAATACCAAGATATCTTGAGACTATGTGATCCGACTCAGACGTTGGAAATATGAAGTTCTGAAATATTATATGGGGTGTTTTGGTTGAACCGCTAAACCTGGTGACTCGCTCGGCCGGATTTATGATATTCTGAGGGTATGTACTCGGCTGGCTGATAGCTGCACGTAATGGGCATGGCAATTTCAAAAATACTACGAGTGGTTTCAACATGGCGACTCCTAGCGACATGCTCTTGCGGTAAGCCAAAATTCCCCGTACATTTTGTCGCTTCTGCCTGCCCGAGAGAAAACACTGGAAGGATAGATTAAAGGGCCCAAAAGAAAGCCCTTCTGCAACGATAGAACGGATGCTACGGCTGCTGGGGCTGAGGAATTCGGCCGTTTGGTGCAAAAAAGACTTTTTTTGACAACGCCCGCACCGAATTATGCACAAGCATGCACCGTATAGCGCAAGCGTCTTCACTTGTGCCGGGATAGGAGATGATGACACCTTCCCCCCTCTATGGGTGGTCAGACCGGGAACACTTCAACCTAGGCATCTACGCTAGAATAGCGCCTTGCGCTTCCTCACTTCCTTCTTAGCAGCTAGTGCCCAAACTTGTTGCCTTCTCTGCGTGTAATTAGCTAGTTGGGTGTATCCTCGCTTAAATAGCAAGTCTAGTTATCACTCGGGAGATACCTTGTCACCTGCCGTGTAACCTGCCACAGACGCTAAATAGTCAATAGTAGTAAGAATGATAAATTCCGCGGTGCATCCACGACACGCTAGTTATGAAATATGTAATATTTGTAAGTGGCCAGTTAAATGATCAATTGAAATTCCCACCCGAGTCGTCCGCCCCAAGCACCATAGCAAAGGCGATATTTTGGATTATGATACTTCAATCCACAAGGGTTTAGATAAGCTATAGGATACTCAAGCATCAAACAACCACCAAGACCGAACCGCCCGGCTCTTAAGACAATAAATCCATACGCACCCAGAAATTCACGAAGGGTCTTTGGCAGCTCTCTTAGCGGTCCGCGGTTCGCGGTTCTTAAATTCTTCAGGCCTGCATCCGCCGTTTAATCAAGAACTTCGTTCCTTGTCCGCCCCACCAATAGTCTTTACATGGCCATATTACCACATGAATAATCAAGTAAGAATTTATATGATGAATTATAGTTGGAGGTCTGATCGGCTCAACGATGTGTATACCAATCGCAGGGGGGTTTTTGATTCGTGAGCGGCCCGGGCCGGATTCATTTATGTTGACGCAGACGATTCA